GCTGGATTTGAATGATGTTGATGAGGGGATTTGAACATTCCATAGGAATATTTTAGTAAAAACAAATTAAATGCCAATAATGGCAAAATTTTGTTGAATGATAAATTAATTATCATTCTTTTTTAAGGAAAAAAGGTTTTCCTAAATTATTTAATTTAATCATTTATCATTAATTTAAAATTATTTTACTTATAGATGAAATTATGAATGTTAAATTCTGCTAAATTTATCATTCCATCGTTTCAGGAAAATTTAAAACTAAAAACCAGAATTTCTGAAGATGTGTGGGTTTTTAATAAATCGTTTGAATCGAAAAATGGTTTTAAAATTTAGATTAATCGAAAATAGTTGGTTGATAATCGCCAGTAAACTTCATTCCGGTTACAACCTTTTGGTGGATATGATAAAGTAAAGCAGCTGGGCTATAGCTATTTTTCTCCTTTAGCTAGTGCAAAAGGTTATTCGGCGGCTGGGAGCGAACCAGCATCTTCAGTAGACCGGACTGATGTGTTAGCCATTACACCACGCCGCCTACTGCATAGCCCTAGGAATTAAATAGCTATATGCTTTACAATAAAGAGCGGCACACAACAAATCTCTCATTGTAACTCAACTTACATATAAGAGCGTCTCTTTAGACTTTTTAAATATTTTAAACTTTTTAAATTTGTTAAATCAAATATATTAAATTTTAATTAAAAATTTTTAAATAAAAAAATTTCCTCTTGCTAGGCATTTTATGCAGGCATTTGAATGAGTAGAGGGGTTGCGCCAGACGACATTTGGGAAACTAATTTTAAGCCACACGCCAAATATCCTTTAAAAAATACAAGAATAACTAAAGTTGAACCTCTACGGTACCTCTATAGTGTGTGAGTTAATATTTGATAAAAATTATAAAAAACTCATGCCAAATATTTATTTTTAGCTAAATTAACATCGTCGTCCACATTCCGTCTAATTTTATTAGTTCAGAAACTCATCTAGCTCTTTTCACTTCCCGGACCTGTTTGCTTCACTTTGTGAGATCCGGCTATAGTTATGTATTCACAATTTTCTTAACGATAAAAGCGGCGCAAACGTCGCCTGCGCAAAAGTCCTTATATAAAAATATCTATACTTGCCCTTTTTCTTAAGCTATAGATTTAAGCTATACATTTTTAAAGACTTGTTTTATTGACTATAGAAAAAGCTATAGATTTTTAAAGGCAAAAAAAGATTTAGAAATAAAAGAACGCTATTAATTATTATTGAGAAATATTCACATGAATGTACTTGAACACATTGGCCGAGGGACGAGGAGAAAATTTTATTTTAAAATTTTAAAAATCAATACATATTTTAAAATAAAAATTAATAATTAATATTTTATAAAATAATTTATTATTTAAAAGCATTTCCAACTACAACCTTCTAAAATTCAAACTCTACCCTGCATGTGTCCCCCCAATTCTTGTGCGCAAAACTAAAGCAAATTTATAATAGAATCAGAATCTAGGACCACTAAAAAATTGTCTATCTGAATACTCGCGGATCCCGCAGATGCGTTGTATTCGACATTTCATTTTTTTAATTATTTAAAAATCTTCATTTGCATCAGCTCTTCAAATATAAAATTTAGCTGTTAAATGAACCGAGATACGACTCTCCAAATGATAAATTTAAATAATTTTGGTAAAAATAAAACTTTTTGGAGGGCTTCAGTTTTTTAAAGGCCATTACCTAAACGTGTTGAGTCGATTGATACCAAAATTATTTGGATTGAATGATTTTGGATGATGTTATGTTAGACAAAATTTGACATAAAAATTTAGCTGTTCGGACGAGTTTATCTTTAATATCTGATTTATCTTTAATACCTGTTTGACACCAAAAATTTTCTCTCTCGGTCCTTTTCAAGCGATTTTTCCAGCAAAATTTCTTGTTCCAGAGCTAGAAATTATTTTAGGTAGTGCATGAAATTTTTAAGTTTTTTTCTTTTTAAAAAATTTTGCAAAAATTTTACAAAAAATGACCCGGAAAATAGTGTTGAATAAACCATTTTTTTGCTACAACTCCTTAAAAATTGCAAACCAAGACCCTCCATATAATGAGGTTAGAAAAATCCAGAAACATCGAAAAATAATCTGACAAATTAAAAATAATATTATTTAATTATCCACAATCTTAAATTTATGGTGGATTCTTATAAAATTTTCGGATGTCAAAAACCGAAAGAGATAAACTTGTTTAAGTCAGACCTGGTCACGGATACCGACTTTATTATCCGTATCCGGATATTTACGGCGGATACAGACGTACACAGGCGGATATCTGCAGGCATTTTGGTATTATCTGTATCCATATCCGTATCCATAACCAGGTCTGGTTTAAGTATATTTACAACTCCTCAAGTTTTTTTTAATTTTATTTCTTAATTTTGGTTTATTTATTCATATTCACTTAAGTGAGACAAAATAATTTAAAATTAAGCATTTATGTATATCCACCATTTTAAACCAAAAAATAAACTTACATGCCATTAAACAATCTGGTTAAGAATTCTTCCGCTTTTACCCAATAAAAACATTCTCCCACAAAAATCTCTTTAAATGAAATCCTTACTTTCATACCAGATAGGTGCATTTACAAGAATTCTTTAAACGAAATAGTCATGTAAATGGCACATCTGGAATGAAAGGTTTGGAATTCACAAATTTTCTTTTGATTTACCGCATTTTTAGTCAATTTTTGAATAAATTTTAGTTGAATAGATCGACGTTTATTTGTAAATTTAACAAAATTTTATTTAAAAAGGTTTTGTAAATGAGACAGTAAAACAGGGGGAGTGATGAAAAGAAGAATATTTTTGCTGATAGTTTATAAAATAAAATATTTTTATGTTGCTCTAAAAACATGGCAATCGAAAATTTGAGAGAGAGTTAAAGGGAGAAAAGATTTGCATTCAAAAATTGGGGGAAGAAGCAAATATTTTATTGAGGTGAATTGAAGAAGAATCAAGAGAAGGAGTGAGAGAGGAGTATTTAAAAAAGGTGAGGCTATTTTACATGTTCAGATTTGCATTGTAATTTTTATATTTTCGAAGGGAAACATAAATTCGGGACAGGCAAAAAGTGTCTTGATTGTTGTAGTTATTTTATTGTTTGCGATGGAGAAGGGGGGGGGGGAGAAGGGGGGGGAGGGGGGGTTATCTTTATTTTTATTGTTTGAATAAGCCTTTTAAACATTAAAAGCGAGAGAGAAGAAAAAGGTTTTTAAATATTTCTCTCTTAAACAATTTTTTTCCTTAATTTTATTAAGCATTTCACAACTTTGTAGGCTAAAAAGTTATTTAATATATTTTTCTTTTGTCTAAATGTAATAAAAAAATATTTAATAAATCGAAACATTTTGTTATATTATTGATAATATATTTTACTGTAAAGAGAATTAATGGGCCTTTTTGGTAAGAAAATCTTTTTGAAAATTCTAAAAATGTCTAAAAATATCTTAAATTTTCAAGTTTTGTATAGGGAAGCATTTTAAGTCACCCCATTTATTTTTACCTTTTGCTCTCTGTGTTAGTAAACTATTTCAGCAAATATAGTTAAGTATTGGAAGTAGGGTTGCCGTTTTCGAGTCGGGCCGACGTTCGAGTCATTTTTTTGAGCTTCATTTTTATCAGGCTGGCCAGATCGAGTCTCTTTCGGGCCAAAATTTGATGCCCGACTCGATCTTTCATACCGGACCGGCAACCCTGATAGGAAGGTAAAAAATAATAAAATAAAAAATAATTTTTAACATAATGTTTTAATTATAAAAAATCCAAATTTTTTGAAATTATCAAGAGGTATTAAGCAATTTTGTTCGAGTAATGAATGATTCAGGGTTCCTCGAAATGGAATTGTTTTAAATTTTTTGCTTTGTGTCATATTCAAATTTCAAAGCATATAGGAATAAATCAACTTTAAATCATTATTTTTTAAGCCAATTATGTTTGATTTAATTTTCATCATTAAATAATCAACCATAATGCTCGATGAAAGTTACTTACAATTTATTATATTGAAGGTTAGATACTGATATTGAATCAAGGCAAATTTTTTTAACAAAAATCTTGTTCATTCATTACTAACTGATGGAATTATTAGCTGACCAATCTTTTAAGTATCAAAATTTTGTGGTGGATATGGTACCGTAACATGATTATCTCTTGTGGAGCGACTTGGGTTATTTTGGTAACATTTTATAATTGAGCAATTCCACAAATTTTGTTAAATTTATTTTTGCGTTTTTTTTATTTTTGAAACAGTTCTGATTATAATTAATAGTTAAAAATATTCTCGAATCATTTTTTGTATTCTCTAATACTACGTCACGCGTTCTTAACCGCTTGGAATCGATCCACGTCTCTTACATCATGCTCTCCGTCCCTCGGGAAGTCCCCTGAAGAAGAAAATATTATTCGCCAGAAGGGAGGAAGAATCTAATAAGAGTGAGCTAAATCAACTTTTTTAGAAGAGCCAATGAAAATTACCTAAAGTAACATAAATCGTACAAATTTACAGAAGAAAAATTATCATTTTGATTTAAATGAGGTACCGGAAACTGCAGCCGAATATTGAAGAAGATTTTTAATTTTTAGAAAACTAAATTATAATTGATTTTATGTAACTTTTAGTTATTTTTCTATAAATTTCCGACTCAGGTCTGTTATTTGCGAGTCTGGCCAAAGTTAAATGCCATTTTTATACACTTTTTTCATTTTAGATACTCAGACCATTCGAACTCGATGCTCAACTCGATATTTCTAACCCTTTCGATCAATTTTTGTAACCCTAATGACAAATATCTAAAAATAAAATTATTCTCTCCTGTTAGTTTGGCAATTAATTTATAATAATGTTTGAATAACATATTTTCTCCTTAATTAACTAAATTATTCTTTTTCCTATTACTTTTTCCAATCCAAAAGTTTTTTTGTCGTATGTTAGCTAATCAACACGAAAATTTTTAAAAAGTTTGCCCTTTTGTTTCTTCTACTCAACTACACAGACAATTGCCGCTGCCTCTCCCCCACACTTTTAAGTTTTTGGGCTGCCACCTACACCAAAAGTTTTTCATGGAAATCCAATTTCTTCTACTAAAATTTTTTTCCTTTTCAATTCTCTGTTGGGCCACACATTGTCGGCATTCTTCCCTCATAACACCCGTCTTGGCCCCTGGGGAGACTTTTAAACTCAACACCAACAAACTTTCACCCAATACTTTAAAAAAGGAAGTGTGGGCCACTTTTTTTGTTTTATATCCAAAATATCAATTTTTGTTATGATGGAGATATTCAAATTTTAAAATTTGTTTATAGTAGGTAGTTATGTAAATTTTCAAAGGATCACGTTCAGCAAAGGACTGTCTAAGGAAACCTTTCTGTATTTTAGTTTCCTATCGTTTTTCAATTTTCGTTCTGTTTGTAATTTCGACTACTATCCTACCCCATATTTTATGTCCATATTTACCCGGATTGTTATTATCTAAATGTGTTTGTCCTTTTGGGCATTAAATTTCTTAAAATTTTTATTCCTCTCCGGTTGTTTCCTCCCTCTATTTTTTCCTTATCTTATTTCTTCCTCAATTTCCTTTCCTTGTTATTTCACTCGATAAATGCTAAGAAAACTCGGCACAAAACTCGACTATTGTTGTTAGACTGCCTTTTTTTATTTCATAAGGATTGCATGGCATATATATTCTCCGTTCTCCCCAACACATTTTTACATCATTGCAACGCTTTTGCCTTAAACAGTCATGGCCATAAGCGCGATTACAATAGTCAATGATGTTTAAAGAACAAAAAAAGAAATAAGAGAAGGATAAAAAATTTAGAGAGTGGTTTAAAAAAATAAGAAAAACAAGAAATGAGAAGAGAGAATATTGGAAAATGAGAGGGTATCCAGCTGGGCTGAAGCCGTGGGACGAAGATAAACCTTGCCTAAGATATACAAGACTTACTCTCCTTCTTTGGGCTTTCTCGGCTGGCTTTTGCTTAGCTGCTCACTGGCAATAACTAAATATAGCGAGAAAGAAAAAAGACTTTGCCTCTAAGAGATATTGGCTGTTTTGCTTCCCCATATTTTATTGAATGTTAGTGTTGATGTCTCCCGTCGGGAAAATTTTAACTCCTTACAACCCGGCAATTTGTCAAAACTAACTGTTTGCCAAGAGTAATCACTTACTAGACTTAAAATTTCCCATGTTCCTTCCTTGTTGCAATATATGTAATACTTCCTGTTTCTGAGGGAAAGCAAACAAAAATAAATAAATATTTGTATTGTTAGAAATATTTTTAAAAATTTATTCTTTTCTTAATTTTTAGTTTTTGATAATAAATGGGTTAAAAGTCAAAAAAGCTAATTTTTTATGAACATTTTTGGTTACTAATTTTCCGAGGAAACCATAAATTTTTTTTAATCGTGACCATACCCATGTTTTCCTTTTTTAGTTTACCTAGATACTAAAAATTGCATGTGTCCATATTTGTACATATTTTATTAAAATATTCTAATAATATCCCTTTTGTCATCCATTCCCTGTTCATTTATTTTTGGTATTGGTAGTTTAATTTTGGGCCTTAGGTGTCAAACCCAAGTTATGTCCAGATCTAAAGGAAACCATGAATGTATTTGGAACTGAAAATCTTTTTCGATTTTTGAATGTTTAAGGAATTTGTTATTGCCAAATATTGCTAAAATTTTAATAATTTTTTGATTTTAGAAAGCTTTCAGCATATCTCCTTTTAATTAGTATATATTCTTTCTTAGAAAGATTATAATTTTTATCTGCTTGCTATTGTATGTTCGTATTCATAAAGGACGTGATTGGTAATGCTTTTGTTGATCTGCTTATAAATTTAAATTTAATTAGACAAAAATATTTTTAGCATTCATTTCTAAATTTTCAAAATATATGAAAATTTTCCACAGTCAGGTTTTAATAAACAACAAGTTTTAATAAAGCTTGCTATTAGTTTCAACTAGCGGAAGGCTTTATTAGAATTGAGAGTATTATTCCAAAATTTAATGTAAATTATGCATTATTAACTCTATTTCACTCATGTTCTGACTGAGACATATCCAAGTATTGAATCGGAAATGAGAGAAATTTTGAATTCTCTTCAAGAAAATCAACAACCTTCCTTCCTTTTATCGTTTTTTCTAGTGCTATTATTGTTACGATAAGCTTGCGTTGATTCTGTCAATAACAATACTATTTTTTAAGATGATTTGAACGAGAAACTTAAAGCAGTTAATCAGGAGTTGGTACAAGCTATGAACACAGGCAATAATTCTAATAATTCAAATAGCAACACTGACTCCCCAACAAAACCCCAGCAATCCCCTGCTTCAACTACAATGACAACAAATAAAACAAACAATACTAGTCAACAACAAAAATTGCTCAATAATACATCCAATGCTTTAATGACATCTACGTTAAATAATCAGGTTTATACGAATGTCTGAGTTATACAAACGAGTTCATAAAAACTACAAACGATTTTTTAATAACCCTACGAACGAGTTCTAAAAAATCTTTTAGATTGCAGCTGTAGGTATTAGGGATCGGACTTGAAGAGGATTGAAATCAGATCTCTAAAATCTCATCCAGATAACTTTTTGAACGAAATCTTGTCTAGGTCTGATCTCTAGTATATGTATACGGTAACTCACCTTAAAATTAAATTCCCTAACTTTTCTTGAAAAAAGTTCGTTTCATTATTATTTGGAAATACTATTTGGAATTACATTCTTCTGCTGAATAAATTCAAAATTAATATTTGAGGAATAGTTATGCGAAATAAAATTCACCTATCTTTGAATTATTAAAATTTTTAAATTTATAATTTTTAAAGATACAATGGGTTGGCGCATATCGACTCGAGAAAACATTGGGCAAGGGCCAAACTGGTAGAATAAACATAATTAAATAATTAAAAATGAATTTTAAATTAAATTAAAGGTCTCGTAAAGACTGGAACTCATTGTGTAACGGGTAAAAAGATTGCCGTAAAAATTGTAAACAAGGAGAAATTGAATGAATCTGTCCTTCAAAAGGTTTTTTCTGTACATATTAAACAGAATTTCTGAATTAATTAGGTGGAACGTGAAATTGCCATTATGAGGCTAATAGAACACCCACATATTTTACAATGTAATTATTTTACAAACATAATTTTGAGTAATTATTTTTTAGTATATGATGTTTATGAAAATAGAAAATATTTGTATTTACTTCTTGAACATGTATCTGGTGGAGAATTGTTTGATTATTTGGGTAATTTCAAAAATTTAATAAATTATTTTGATTACTAAAAATTCAACAAAACCTTCTTTTTGTTGGATTAATTGCCACTTTGAACTAGAGACCGGACTTAAGTGATAGTTCGATAATATCGGTATCGATTATCGATAATATCGACATCGATATATCGTATCGATCCGGTCTCCACTTTGAACTGATAAAATTGAAAGATGGTTTAAGGAACCGGTACCATGTTACCATAAAAGGAGTTAAGGAGGGTTAACTGTATCAATTTACTTCAAAACCTAACGACAGCTGTTTTTTGTCGTTTAAAATAAAAAATTTAACAATGCTTATCAGCTGTATAAAATTAGGATTAATGAAAACAAATTAGTATTTCATAGTGTCAAAAATTCTGAAAATGAGGGTGAAACAAATAAACGATTTAAAATTAGACAATATTTTATCACAATTCTATTTCTCGAAATATCTGCTGTGTCACTATAACGGGAGATCCCATGGCTCTATCTTAGGACATGCGTCCCATGAACTTTAGTGCGTCCCATAAGAGTATATGCGTCCCATGAAAGTATATACGTCCCAAAATTAATATATATCTTAGGATTTTGAGATTTTGTAAAGATTGATAACTTTTATTTTTCATATTTTCTAGTGAGGAAAGGTCGTCTAATGGCAAAAGAAGCTCGAAAATTTTTTCGGCAAATAATTTCTGCTCTTGATTTTTGTCATGCACATAATATTTGGTTTGTTTAGATGACAGTATATGATCCAAAATTATTTTAATTTTAAGCCATCGTGATTTAAAACCAGAAAATTTATTACTCGATGAAAGGAATAACATTAAAGTTTTTTTAAAAGTTTTTAAATTAAAAAAAAATATTTTTTGAAGATTGCCGATTTTGGAATGGCATCTCTTCAAGTTGAGGGTTCAATGCTTGAAACTAGCTGTGGTAAAGAATAAATTATAAATTTTATATCAAAATATATATCAAATAATTTAAAGGTTCTCCACATTATGCTTGTCCAGAAGTTATTAGGGCAAGTTTTGTTAATTCAAAAATTGATCTCTAAATAAGATTAAAATTTAAAACCTTAGGACTTATTAATAATCCTTTTTGTGATAAATAATTTTTTCCTTTATTAAAAGTTGGTTATTAACCGTTACCGTGATTTCTCGATTAATTCCCCTAGTGAATTATTTTTTCAACCCTTCTTTGGCATGGGGAATTAATCGAGGGAGGGGAATTATTCGAGTTTCAGCATTTGAACATGCAGTAAGGCATTTGGGGGTGGGGAATTATTGTTTCAACCCAACTCTAGATTGGGGAAATATTCGAATGGGGGAATTAATCGAGAGAGGGTGAATTAATCGAGAAAATACAGTACCCCTAGTTTCGTTTATTAACTTCTTCGGTTCCGGGTCGGTTAATATTATTTGGATGGTTGGAATTAACAATAAGAATCACTGATATTGATACTAAACCAGGTACTTTTCTGTTTTGCCACACCCCACCCATATATTCGCAGGATATATTTTCATTTTTCCTTAATTCGTACAGAAAGGTTAGTCTTCTCGGTACACCTCAGTTGAGTCCCGACTCAGTTGAGTCCCGGACCCTATAACTTATGAAGGGACTGTCATTTTTTGTTACTCTTTGTACCATTAGATAGGGCATTAAATAGGCTACAATATACCAAAAAATCAAAATCCCTGCCCGACTGGTAAAAAAGTTATGATCGATAAAGTGCCGAAAAATCAGATTTTTTTGAAAAAGTTAGTTTTTAAATCATAACTTTTTTATCAATCGGTCAAAAATTCTGATTTTTTGATATGTTATAGAACTTTTGATTCTCTATCCAATGATACCAATAACATGAAAAAGTGACCATTCCTTGATAAGTTATAGGGCCGGGACTCAACTGAGTCGGGACTCAACTGAACTGCTCCGTAGTCTTCTTTCTTCCTCAATTTCACCCAATTTTCCCTCTGGCATGTTCAATGAGAGACACCAATAAAGAAAAGATTAATTTTTCTTTCCAATGTCATCAAAATTGAAATCAACATTTGGGGAAATCGAGTGAGCACGGAAGATTAAGTCAATCCACAGGGAAAATTAAGTGAAATTGGGGAAGAAAGAAAACTGACCTTTCTGTACGAATTAAGGAAAAATAGAAAATATATCTTGCGAATATATAGGTGGGGTGTGGCAAAACAGAAAAGTACCCTAAACCATATACATACTTAATAGAGGGGGCGATAAGATTACCTATGGGATGAAATCAACTTAGATGATTTTTTAAAGATAAGTGTTGTCACATAATATTATAGAGATTAAGTTCAAGTTAAATTATTCAAAAATAATTTAGGGTGAAAAATATGATGGAAGAAAGGCAGATGTTTGGAGTTGTGGGGTAAATAAATAATTGAATTCAATTTTTAAAATAAATTTCAAAAGGTAATTCTTTATGCATTACTTGTTGGGGCTTTGCCTTTTGATGTTTGTTTTGTTTTTTAAATAAAATTTATTTTAAATTAAAAGGATGATAATCTTCGAAATTTATTGGAAAAAGTAAAAAAAGGAAGTTTCCACATTCCCCATTTTGTTCCATCTGACTGCCAAGGTCTTCTACGCTCAATGGTAGAGGTTAATCCGACAAAAAGAATTTCTTTACAAGATGTGTTTAAACATCCTTGGTTTTTGTTAAAAATTAATTAACTAATTCTTTAATTTTAAGGGTAATAGGTCCAAATAAAGGTGAATTAGAACTTGAAGTGCCTATGGCTCAAGTTGTTGAGGTTGCCTAATTTTTAGCAAATATTTTTTTACATTTTTGTTCTTTGCACAGACACATGTAATTCCTAACGAAGATAGCATTGATCCTGACGTTTTTCGGTCAGTTTTTAATATTTTAGTAATGTCTTATCATAAGATTTGATCGAAAGACGAATTAAAGTCATCATATTTCTATGAAAAGTGTCATTCAATAAAATGAGTTTTTCAACTAGAGAGCCATTTATTAGTAAGAATACGGTATATCTATACTCTAATTACTATATTCAAACTATAAATCGGACCAAGATATGATCTCAAACGAAAATCTCGGTTATCGAGATTCTTTCGAGTCTCGATTTTCGTACGACACCAAGTCACAAAATGAATGAACATTAATTCTTGAATAATGGTTAAACAAATCTCGGTTATTGGAATAAAGACTTCTAGATATATTTATCTGATTCGTTCATTAATTTAAATCCCTAATCACATCCTAATACATGATCTTCAAAAAAATTTTTCCAGACATATGAACAATTTGGGGTGTTTCAAAGATAAAGAGAAATTAGTAGCCGAATTGCTTTCTACAAAACACAATACAGAGAAAATTGTTTGTTTTGATACTTTTTTTAATTTTAAAAAAACTTTTTTGAAGGTTTATTTTCTTTTACTTGATCGAAAAAGGCGGCGGCCTGCAAAGGAGGAAGAACCGGAATCTGTCCTTCGAAATTCTACTTTTGATAATATTGTCGATCCGCCTCGAAAACGAGTTGATACAAGCAAACCTAGATTGCCTCCTTCTAGAATTTCTGACGGGTCACCAATGAATCCAAGAAAGAATAGGTAAAAGTTAAATTGAAGTGAATATTTTTGACCAAAATTTAGAATTTAATTTCCTAGTTTAGACTTTCCATATAAACATTTTTTATTCTTTTAAGATATCGCCTTAGACAGTCCTCTTTGGGTGGATCACCTGAGGACTCCCCACAACATTCCTCATGTTCCTTGTACCCACAATCAGCTAGAGGAAATGCTTTTACAACAAGTGGGCTTTTTATTGGTTAAAAAAGCTTGTCATTAATTTTAGGCCAAAAAGTAGAAGAAGCATTACTTTCTCTCTCCTCTGGAAAGCATCGAATCTCCCTTGGAAGCAATCATTCCCGAAATTCAAATAACACAAATTATCAACAAAGTCGCCAACAAAATCACCATCATTATTTCACACAACCAATTAATCCTATAATTGTTCAAAGAGCCTCTAGAAGGGACGAACAGAATACCAAACAAGAAATACAAACACAACAATCGAATAAGTCTAATGGTACAAATATTCCCCCATTGTTGTTACCGGCAAATAAACCAAGAGTGCCTATTACAACTACAAATACTGGTAATAGATTAAGGAATTGGCAAGATTATTAACAATTTAGAGGGGTTGAATACCAAGTATGTAGATATGGGTATGAGAATTCTGCCCTAGTATCATTGGCAAGTTTGCCCTAGTATCGCTACATAAATTATAAAATTAAGGCATACTGTCTCCTTGTTATATCCCCGTAATTCTAAATATTTTGCCTATATTTGAGCTGGATCTTTGAGAGGTTCCAATGTTTATATAATTTATAAAAAAAGGTGTTGTTGTTACAACAACAACTACCCCAACAGCCGTTGCTTCTTCAGCAGCTTCTTCTTCTAACTCCATTGCCTCCTCTTCGGGTATTGTTTTGATGAATTCTCCATCAATGAATGCCTCAAATAATTCCATTACTGCTGTTTCCTCATCTTCAAATTCTTCAATTATTGGCCCATCAGGACCTTGGCACTCTAAAATTTCAACAACAATTAAAAACTCAATTTTGGGAACTCCTCGTTTCCACAGAAAATCTGTTGGAGGAAGTAGTAATAATACAAATAATGGATATAATGCTGGTAGTAATGAATCCGATACAGAATGCAATGGAGGTGTTTCTTCAACGAATTTGTCTGACTCGACATCTGAGTAAGGAGAATTTTTAATATTATTTTTGGAGGTGAAATAAGTACTACACTAATTAGCTAACACTCTCTATGGAGGCACACTTTCATAGACTGCACTCGTTTAGAGGCTCATCAAGTTGGAGTGTCCAATGGCCCTTGAGTCGTAAATACGTTTAAAATTTTCAACCCCACAATCCCTCGACGAGATACATCAAATTATACTAGTGATTTCGGGATTTTTTTATTGGAATGCCCCTTCCCTTCCATCTATAATAGCAAAACTAACCCATTCTTAGAAATATTCTCTAATGTATAGGTCTCGCAAAAATTGCAATTTTATTTAAAAAAAGAATTTTCAATTTTAGTCTCGTCAAAAAATCATTTTTCGGTTCATTATCAATGAGTGGAGCAGATAGAGACGATACTCCCTGTATTCCTGTTCAAAACAAAACTCTTCCAGAGATTAAAGCTGAATTAATACGGCTATTTTTAACTGTAATATTTTCTAATTTTTATTCTTCCAAATTTTTTTTGGAATTTTTAGATTCACGAACTTAGCCATTCTGTTGTCGGCCAAAATTCGTTTAGAGTTGAATACAAACGTTTGCCTTATTTAGGATTTTCTAGGGGCGTAAAATTTCAAGGTTTTTACGAAGAAAAGTAATTTAAAGTGGAAAATTAATTATTTTAGTGGATATTCTAACACCTCCAAATCAACGAAGAGACTCTCAAAACTCGATTAGTTGTTCCGAAATAACTGATTTTTATGTTGTTCAATTTACTTTGATTTCTGGTAGATTTCTTTGACTTTATTTTAATTCTGTTTTTAGGACCTCTTCGAAGATTCCGTCGATTATTTGAACATTTTTCCACCGTCCTCCAAAGTTCACAAAGGTAGCCAAAAATATTATAGTTGAATATAAGTTAATTATTCTTGTAAAATCTTTGACAGAAATGCAGATCAGAGACCCTCAGCATCTTCAGGTTTCATGGTAAAACCGCGTAAACTGTCTTCACAGTCATCTGTCGGCTCTGAAGATTCTGCTGCAGCCGGCTCTGTGGACAGACAAGATTCTGATCAATTAAAGTATTCTCAACAATTTAGACAAAAACAGTCTTCTATTCAATCACAAATTAATCCACCCGTGAGTTTTTTCATGAAATTTAATAGAATATATAAGGCTACTAGTACAGAGTTTTATTTGTTTAATCCTCTAATAAATGTTGAGGATATTTTCTAATTTAATAAGATAAATTAAAGAGATTTACCCTTAGATTCTGTGTGTTAATTTTTGTCTAAAATATTTATTACTTAATCTTTTAAACAAAATTATTTATCTCAGTATCTTACCGAATATTACCCCGGGTAATTATTTCTTCGATATTTCATTGAGGCCTCGCAATTTTAGAGGGCGATAATTAGTAGAGAAAAATCTTTTATTAAAAATCTGAAAATTTTTTATTAAGCTTGCTGAAGATGAGAGTGGTTTCTTTGCGGATTCTGTCAGCAATTCGAAGACAGGTAAAAAAATTTATTTTCAAAATTATTTATCCCTCTTTGAAATTTATTTTTGTTTTATACAATTTTTGCTGTTTTTACCCATTTTTGCTAACAGCTTTGAATTTATTTTTAAAAAAGGCTCATTTTAACCCTCTATTTTTTACCCGTTTTTGCTTTAATTATTTCTTGTCCGCTTTTGTTTTTTCGTTCTTTTTAGTTTTACGTGCAGCTCTTTCATGTTCTACTGCTTCCCCAAGAATAAATTATAATTCAACAAATCAACAACAAGAATTATTAAACGAATCTCCACCTCCTTCTGCCCGTAGCAGAACTTCTCGTAAAAGTGATGCTTCCCTTCTTGGAGTTGTTTTAATTAATCGACAAAAAGCTTCGGTTGCATCTTGGGGTAGTCCAGCAACTGCTGGGCAAGAAATGAGGGCTCAAAGAGAGGCTGATAGTTTAGATAATAGAGGATTAGGTAATTTAGTTTATTTTGAAGTTTTGGAAAAGAGGTTTTGGAATTTGTTTAGACCAGAATTTGGGTGATTTTTGTAGTTTACGATTTCTTCAATTTAATATTAGTTTTTATTTTTCTATACTAATGATCTTTGGGGTTTTCTTGAAGAAATTTTTTGTAATTCTCTAAAATAGGTCCTCCCTCTCTACTAACCAGAGATTGGTCGGAACAGTCAGAAGTGTCGGAAATCGGAGGAGCGGGAAATCGGAACTGGCTCAAAAGTAGGAACTCAGACATCGGAAATCAAAATTTTTTGTAAATAGGAAGTAAAAAAACGTTTGAAATCGTAATTCCAACTCACCTCTACTACTAACGAACGTGCTTAGTCCTTTTAGAATGAGAGAATTACAACTATAGTTCATTTTAATCTTTAACTGATAACACAAAATCTTGTCCAGTTTAACTTTAAATTCTGGCTCTATTAATTAACTACCTATATAAAATTCCAATCCCTCTCTAAAAAGGTATTGACGATGTCCCACGCCCAAAAACAGCAATATCTAATATAATCCAAATTCAACAACAACATAAAGCGAGTGTTTTCTCTTGGAGTAGTCAATGTTCGAATACTTCTGTTAATTCTGATGATTCTCTAATTTTTACAAATAATAATGTACTAAATAGTACTGGTATTTTTTGTGATATAAATAAAAGGAAAGAGGAAGAATTAAATAATAATAATATAAAAAAAGATGAAATAAATAAAGAAATAAATAACAACAAAATTAAAGAAAATTTTAAAACATCTCCAGAAGAAATTTTGGAAAATAATAAAAATTTTGGGAATAACAGCAATTCAACATAAATTTTTCGGTTTTATTATTTTTTATAAAAATTTTGTTTTTGTGTTTTTTGACGATTTTTCCCCTACAAAAATTTTTCCCTAAATTTTGGATAAAAAATTTACCACAAAAATATGTTTTGCCTTTTAACAACATAAATCCTTGTATATTTTACAGTTTAAAAGTTTTTGTCTGCTTTGCTTAATTGCTGCTTCTTAACCTAATTTTTTATTTTATTTTCCCTTATTAACATAAATTTCTGTTTTATTATTTTTATAAAAATTTTTATAATAATAAAACCGAATATTTATAAGTCCACATTATTATAAAAATAGACAATTGCCGTCCCGATTTTCAAAATCGTGAATGAAATTTTTAGTGCATACTCCTTGAAATATTACGTTAATTAAAAACACTAGCAGCTAAAAAGATTATAATTAAATTTCTGTAATTTTCCTCTTATATCAGTCAAAATAACTTGATAACATTTTTGAAATAACGGAGGATACCTTAAATATTATAACAAAATAGCTGATTGTTAAAATATTTCTAATAAACCTATAAAATTTATTTTGAATATTCAGAAAATCCTTTGAGATTTCCCCAACAAATTTTTAACTTTTCAAAATTTATTTTTTATTTTTGCAGATATATTAGATTCAACTGATGTTTTTGTACAAGAAACTATGATAATAACTGAAACAAAATAAAAATTTTAGAATATATTTTATTTACTCATTTACGTTTGTATTTAGTTTTATTTTTATAAATATTTTTTAAATCTCTTATCAAAATGTTATAATTAAGGCTGTGATAGTTAGGCAAGTAAAATCAGTAAAATAGGCGCCTAAAATAGGCACAAAAAAGCCGAAAAAGGCACAAAAATAGGCATGTAAAAAGGATATTAGACCATAAAATGTAGATAAAAACAGAAAAAATAACCAATTAATCGTCATTTTTTAAATTATAAACTATTTTTTAAACAATTTTACCATTTATTCGTCATTTTGAATCATTTTTTGAAAAAAATGGAGTAAATTTTTTTAAAATCCCGATAATTGACAAAATGGAAATCTCGCCCAACACACAAAATGCCGCACCCCAAAACGTCCCAAAACCAGATCGTCCCAGTTCAAAATGTCCAACAGAGTAAAAATAAACAATTTAACGAACTAAAAATTAATAATGGGACTTGGCACTGATTTTTTCTAATTTGGGACTGATTTTTTTAGATTTTGCACTGATTTTTAGGCAAAATTTCGAAAAAATCGCTTAAAAAGGCAAAAATAGTACCAAAAATTTCAAAATAGGCAGAAAGGCACAAAAAGTCAAAAATAGGCAGAAATAGGCATATTAAAAGTCATGCTAGACTTATCGGACCGAGCTAAAAACACGTTTTTTGAACGTATTACATCATCCCAAGCTTGCAGAAAAAATAGGCATTTGCCTATAAATCACAGCCTTAGTTATAATTCATGTTGTTCCTTTTTCTAGCCATTTATTAATAAATACATATAGGCACCAATTGTTTTTTTTAAATTTAGGTTGAAGTTCCTAAAATTTCAAAAAATTATCAGAATTTATCTTTGGATGTTTTAATTTATTTTTAATTTATTTTTGAATGTACATAATGTAGCTGACCTATGAGAAAATTAGACTCGAAACATTACCACCGATTTGCTTCTGTTAATTCAGTAAACCTTTCCTTGTGAACCGAGATACGGGGACCTGAAAATCGTAAAACTATAAGAGGGGCCAGGCTTATTTTTGAAATGAAGATCCGAATCAAAATTGAGTCGTAATTACGAATTGCAATTACGAATTAAGGCGTCTTTTGAGTTACGAATTATGATTACGAAAATATCGGAAAAATTACGAATTACGAAAATAAAAATTATGGAAAAATATTATTGCGAAAAAGCCTCTCGTATTTACTTTGCCCATTATATTTTTGAAGGAAATGGAAAGAAATATTTATATAAAAATCCCACTTAATCCCTCCAGATCCACTTATATCCCAAATTATAAACTTTAATCCCTTCAAATCCCCACTAATTTCTCCAGATCCTACTTAATTTTTGATTAAATTAGCGAAAATATACCGAGATCTGATTATTTTTGAGCATTTTTCTCTAAAAATTTTTTCCCAAAAACCCCGTACCCCGACCCAAACCCCGGCCATATCTTGCTCCCCCGACCCGAACCCCGCCCCGAAACAATTGAAAAACCCCGTACCCCGACATACCCGCCCGCGAACATTCGGGGTACAACCCTATTTATAATTTGAATTATTAATAAATATTTAATCTTTTTAATTAATTTCAATATTTTTTATAAATTATAATTTACGGCATTTTTTGAGTTACGAATTATAAAAAAAAATTTCGTAATCGTAATTTTAAAGATTTCGGAATCGTAATTCGTAATTTAAAAAACGCCGTAATTCGTAATTACGACGCAACTCTGCGAAAGCTCCTCCTCTTTAATGTTAGCATAAAATGGCATGAAAAATGGAGAAACCACATTTTAATTTATTTAAAAAAATTTTTTTTAATTTTAAAACTCCGAAATTTTCAAAATTTTATTTCGAAATTGGTAATACCTCGATAATTTAAAAACAGAGCCAAACACTAGTTTAAGCAGTATTTAGTTCAACTTTATTTAAAATAATTTTTAATTAATTTTAATTTTAACTATTTTTATTTAAGGAAAATCCTTTTTTCCTTAAAAAAGAATGATAATTAATTTATCATTTAACAAAATTCTGCCGTTATTGGCATTAAATTTGTTTTTACTGAAATATTCTTATGGAATGTTTCCTCCTCACATCAACCCTCATCATCAACATCATTCAAATCCAAACAATTTGGTTCATAAACAAATAGAATTAATCGAAAAAACTGAAAAAAAATTCAGCAAAATGTTAGAAAAAGTTGACAAATTTAAAGGTTCTTAAGTTTTAATAATTTAAATAAATATTTTATTTGTTTTTTCAAATAATTTTTCTATAGTTTATTGAAAAATTTTAGAAAAATGTAGACAAAAGAGTTGTAGTTAATTTTTCTGTAAATTCTCTAGAAAAAAATATTTTCTAGAGAATTTTTCAACATTTTTTTAAATTATTGTTTCAACTTCTATTTAGAGAAGGTAACTAATAGGGAGGGGATAAATATTTGAGGGGTGGTAATTAATTGAGTAAATCGGTAGGGAATTTGAAAAATTAAACAAGAATTCAGATAACGTTAGAAAGGTTAAATAATAATTTTTTTCTTTTTAGTACGAATTACCGTAAATGCTCTAATTGAAGCACATGTGCTTCTATTTTTCGATCCCCTCGTAGGGTGTGCTTCTATTAGAGACTGTGCCTCAAATAGAGACTGTGCTTTTATTTTTCGATCTATTTTTCAAATTTTTAAAGAAAATTTTATACCCCACATAACGGAAAACAAAAATTAGATTTGCATTAAATTCATAAAATTTATAAAATTTTTCTAACCAACTAGCTTCATAAATTTTTTTCATCGTAAATTTTCAAAATTTTTGACTGCTGTGTTGAAAGAATCAAGCTCTGATTTAATCATGGATAACTCTTAATCCCCAAAATGCTCTGATATCATGCCCAAATCGCCAGTATCCCTCTTAATCACCCTAAATCTTTCGACATCAATTTAACAATCCGATATCTCCTTTATCTACATGAAATCCTCATATAGCACCACTCGATACTTAACTAAATTCGCCAATTCCCTCTACTACCTTTGATTTAAATCACGAGTGTTAAAGGTCCTGCTATTTCTCAATTTTACATTAACTCACATATTTTTCTGCGCAATTTTATAAATAAATTTTCTGATTATCCGGGTACGGATCCGGCTCTAAAAATCCGGATTTTGATTCAGAAAATCCGGTCCTGACTAAATTAAATCTGGAAACAGGATAAGGTATTTTTCACATGTCTAACTCTACTGGTGTGCTTTTCCAGTGTATACTAGGGAGTGTGCTTCTATTAGAGACTGTGCTTCAATTAGAGACTGTGCCTTTATTTTTCGATCCTCTCGTAGGGTGTGCCTCTATTAGAGACTGTGCTTCAAATAGATACTGTGCTTCTATTAGAGCATTTACGGTAACTAAATTATGATCCAAAAAAATTCAAATAATTTTATTTTTTATTTTTTTAAATTACACATTTTTTAATTTAAATTAAAATAATTTCTAATAATTCTTAAAGATATTTCTCCAGAAGAAAAATTCAAAATCACCCAGGAGAATTTTTTACCTATAAAAAAAGTCGAGAAATTTATTTCAATTTTGGACAAATGTATTCGTAAACAAGAGGATTTAAAGTTTCCAAAGTTGGAAATAACCTTGAATTTTACATATGAATTAAATACAACAAATCCATTTTTGGATAAATACATTGAAATTAAACCTAAATTAATTTTGGGTAATGTATTGAAGCAATTTACTGATAAATTGCCAGGAGAAAAAATTCCCTACAAGGAATTATTTGATAAACTTAAATTGTTTTGGTCTGATAAAGTGGAAGAGGATGTTCGTTTTTATTTTTTAATTAAAAAATATTTTAATTTAAATTTGAAAGTTTTTTTAAACTTCACAAGTTAATATGAGGAAATTTTTTATTAAAAATTTTTGAAAAATTTTATTTTATACTTTAATTTAAGTTTAAAACCCCTAAAAATTAGTTGATTAAAACAGACTAGGACATGGATACGGATATGGATACAGATATTAATATAAAAATGCCTGCGGATATCCGTCTGTATCCGCCGTAAATATCCAGATACGGATACCAAAATCAGTATCCATGTCTTAGTCTGGATTAAAAATATCCAAAATAATTCCCTCTTGTACAAAAATTTATTCTTTAATTAACTTTAGAGATTAATTTTCTTTTCATTTATTTGTAGAATATATTAGAATTGGAAGATATTAATAAAAATATTTCTGATTTAAATGTTGAAAACAAGAATTCTGAATTGCCCCTAATTTCTTTGGAAACGTC